CTACAATATTGTATTACTCCCTAAAAAAGTAACTAATTGTAACTTACTTTTTATGTTAAGTAATGTGATTACTTTTGCATTACTTTTTCACACCTAGGCTGGGCTTGCTTGTCTTTTTTTTCAATAACAACAAAAAAAGTTATATTTTTGACAAATGTGAAGGCCCTTTCACACCAAAAGAGCAAATGCTAAAAGAAAAGCAAATTCACACCTGTAAAGTATGAGCGCAGCTCAAACAAGCCTTTCAGCTGCGCTGCCATTCCGGATCACTGAAGAATAGGATGCAGGAGAAGAAAGTTCAACACTCGTACTGCAGCAATAACACAAAGAAACAAAAACAAACATGTGATGTTTATCTAAAGTCATTTTTGCTTATTAGTCTGGTTGAACTGGATCATCGAAGTTAAGCAGCAAAGACATTGGTAAATAAAGTGAGAAATAGCCTACATTATATTTGTGGTATTTACCATATTTAATTAATACACAGGTTTGCGTAATATTCTGAGTTTGCATTTCACTGTTTTGGAATGGAAAAACAAAGTAACTTGAGTTAATTATTTGAAAAGTAACTCAGCTATTTTGTTGTACATTTAAAAGTAATGCGTTTCTTTCCGGTTTGCTAGCTTAAAAAAATGCATAAACATACAGTACATATACATATACATAACTCTGGGTACTTATAATGCGTAAACTCTTGAGAACTGCAAAGCCGCTCTGATTCAGAGTTTCTACACTACAACCTTGCAATTCCTGGCATTTCGTTGAAGAAACGCAAATGTAGTTTTCCCATGGTGCTGCTATGAAGCTTTTACCTTGCTACGATATGGTCCTTATATTGCAAATAAATCTCACAGCTTCAGTTTCATACTGAAAATAAATGGACATGCGGCACACTCTTTTTTCCACATATTTCAGCCTGCCTTCTGCTTGGGAGCAGCCATGCGGGAGCACTGAAACTCAGACCAAACAAGCCAATCGTTCCATTTAAAAGAGTGTGAAAAGACATTTCAGAAATGAAAATAAAGCATCTACCTGCTTCTTAAGGCGACAGCTCAGTGTGGACTCACACTGCTGTCATAATCAGCGAGTTTCACTGAAGCGTGACAGTGGAGAGTGTCCATCTGTCTGTCACAGGCATGTCCTGCTGCCTAAAGCTGAAGAGCTTTAGCTGAGCTGATGATGGAAGTCTTTGCCAGATCTCCTCCTGTCTGCTGACATGTACGTGAGACCAAAGCCAAAGGATCCCAATAATGGTTCCAGCCAAGCCACCAGATATATGACACAGCCATCATCAAACCATCTCTGGCCTTTAGTTACAGTCATGTCAAGCCAATTTGTATCTCTGGCCCCTGCTTTGGCTCAACAGGCGGATGGGATCCTGATGCCAACTGGCCGTTGGAGCACATACGCTCCGATCAGCAGACAACAAGCATCCCATCGCAACACTTCAACACATACTGAGATACTGTGTCACACATGTGTTCTCTAAATAGATGTACGTGCTAATAATTTTGGCCGTTAATGACACTCTTGAAAAGCTAATGTATCATATCTAGCATTGGATATAATACTACATGAAAAACCTATAAACATTCTCTGTAAACCCTAGAGATGGGCATGCGTGAAAATCCCAGTAGATCAGCAGTTTCTGAAATACTCCAACAAGCATGCAAGCACGTTTAAAGTCACTTAAATCCCATCTCTTCCACTTTCTGATGCTCAGTTCGGTCTTCAGCGGATCCTCTTCATGTCTACATGCGTTGAGTTGCAGCCATGTGATTGGCTGATTAGATATTTGTGTTAAAGGAGTAGTTCACTTTTGAAAAAAACTTTTGCTGATAATTTACTCACCCCCATGTCATCCAAGATGTTCATGTCATTCTTTGTTCAGTCTAAAAGAAATTTCGAGGTTTTTGATGAAAACATTCCAGGATTTTTCTCCATATAATGGACTTTAATGGGAACCAAACGGTTCAAATGAGAGTTTCAGTACAAACTGTTCAAAGGGCTTTAAACGTTTCCAGTCGATGAATAAGGGTCTTATCAAGCGAAACGATCACTCATTTAATAAATAAATAACAAAGTTTAAGTTTATTAGCTGAAATGGTCGCCTTGCTCTGTTCTGTGATGCGCGTTCGTGACTCTCCTGTTCGAACTCGTTCATCAAAATGAACGAATCTTTTTCCGAGTCACTTGGTTCATTAAACGAACGAAACGAACAAATTGACAAATTAAATTGATTTGTTAATTTTGATGAACGAGTTCGAACAGGAGAGTCACAAACGTGCGTCACAGAACAGAGCAAGGCGAGATTTGAGCTTATTAAACTTAAACTTTGTTATTTATTTTTTAAATGAGTGATCGTTTCGCTTGATAAGACCCTTATTCATCATCTGGAATCGTTTAAAGCCCTTTGAACAGTTTTCACTGAAACTCTCATTTGGACCTTGAACCATTTGGTTCCCATTGAAGTCCATTATATGGAGAAAAATCCTGAAATTTTTTCATCAAAAACCTTAATTTCTTTTCGACTGAGGAAAGAAAGACATGGACATCTTGGATGACATGGGGGTGAGTAAATTATCAGCAAAAGTTTTTTTTAAAAGTGAACTCCTTTAACAAGTTGAACTGGTGTATCTAATAAAGTGGCCAGTGAGTATATATATATATATATATATAATATCACATCATCTTCTAGAGTAAGTGGGTTTGCTGCTTAATGGTGTGTGGAAAGATACAGTGTCTTTTTTCAATTGCTGAAGTCTGCAGTAAGTCTTCAAGTTTCAGATGTTTGAACGAAAAATAAATCAATACTTGTCTTCAGCAAATTACATTTTTGGAAAATTAATTTAATTGATCAAAGGTGACAGTAAAAATAATATTCAGAAATGTTTATTTAGCAGCAAATCAGCATGCAAGTAAGATTTCTGAATGATCATGTGACACTAAAGACTGGCGTAATGAAAATTCAGCTTTGATCACAGGAATAAATTACATTATAAAATATATTACAATAGAAGCTACTTTATATTATATTAATATTTCACAATATTAGTGTTTCACAAATGTACTCTCTATATAAAAATTTACTCTATATAAAGACTTGTATAAAAACATTTTTAAAATTTTAGCGATACATTAATAGTAGTGTATATATATATATATATATATATGAAGAGTTCAAATGCAAAAGCCTCTAAGTGCCATTTTAAATTTTCTTCTAGAATGATCATTTTTATCAAGCTTGTATATTTAAGTTCAGTAATTTCACTTAAATTGCAATGATAATTACCAACTAATTGTCATTTAAGTGAAATTCCTGAACTTGAATATATAAGCTCGATCATTTTAGAAGAAAATTTCAAATGGCACTTAGAGGCTTTTGCATCTGAACTCTTCATATATATATATATATATATATATATATCTGCGTGGCTGAATACATAATTGGTGAACAAAAATTAAAAACAGTAAAATAAATACTCTTCAAAATCTTAAACATTTCAGTGATTCCAAACGTACAAAGCTGAGTTAAAAACTTTACGCAGAATCATTATGAAGAAGATTGTAGTTGTGGAAGATCTTGGAGGTGCAGCTGGTTACTCATAAAAATGAGCCATGAGCATATTTCACCTTGGAATGTTTATGGCATTCTTGAGTTACTTAAACATATTGATTTACACATTGGCAGCCAACAGTGTGCCTCCTTTCTATTTCTGCTACTATTGCACATCAGAGCAGCAATGTGTGAGCACGCAGATCTCAGACGCTTGAGAGAGTAATGACCCGTACACAACAAGGACGATACCTACAACGATAGATGTAGATCTAAAAATCGTTCTAAATGTAAAAGAATAGAAGAGTCCACAGCACGGCTATAAAAGACACAAAGGACCGATAGTGTCGGAAATCACTTTCAAAAAGATTTTTTTTCATGCTGATGAACTATAAAAACATTGAGCTAGTATTGGTAACACTGTTTGGCTGTCAATGTGGCCAATCAAAAAAAAGTAGCACAATGACCATATCTCAAATATCAGAACTCAAAATATGCCATTCCCATACCTAAAATACATATTTTACAGTCACTGTTATGCAAATTTAATTTAACCCATTTATAAACAATGCTCCTTCATTGCCTCTCACAACACGCAACACCTAGCAGTTTCATCATAGGTAAAATAGTAATTATTTCAATACAAGCATTTCAGTCAAATTTCAAGCGTTTACACAAGCAGGCATCTATCAGTGGATATTAGAGGATATATTAAGGATCTGCTGATAGATGCCTGCTTTCAAACGCTCCTGTGTGTATCTGTGTAAGTCGTTACGTTACTTTTGACAACAATGCTATCCAATAAACACGTCATTCCAATAAGCAATTAACATGTCTATCCAATTAGTATGGGAGGAGGCCTATATATATATATCAACATGGGATCATGACTTTTGCGTTAACATACACGCCACTTCAAGTCAAGTGGCGTGTTATCTATACACATTTTGAGCTATCCGCGTATGTCTACGCCATATAATATCCGAGCGAAACACATCTGGGGAGCGATCTTTTTGTTTCCTAGGATGTTAGGGGAAGACTCATAAATGGTATTAACCACAGTGACGGGTAGGTTTAGGGACGGGGTTGGGGTAGGTCATAGATTTATATATACAGTAATAACGTTAAGTCAGCGGCGTTCATAAACACGCTGAAAAGCGATTATGCGTGTTGATAACACGCCAAAAATGGAAATACGAATGGCCATTTCATGAGATCAGTCTGTATATATATATATATATGAAGAGTTCAGATGCAAAAGCCTCTAAATGCCATTTGAAATTTTCTTCTTTAATTTAAGTTCAGTAATTTCACTTAAATAACAATTAATAGGTAATTATCATTGCCATTTAAGTGAAATCACTGAACTTAAATATACAAGTTTGATAAAAATCATCATTAAAGAAGAAAATTTCAAATGGCATTTAGAGGCTTTTGTATCTGAACTCTTCATATATACAAGCAGTCAACTCACCTACGTTTTCTGCATCCCTCCAGCTTGTTACTACCACAGCCAGGAATACGGGGGGAGCACTCTGGGTTTGAGTCAAAATAGCGAGCTCGGAGTCCTGTTTTCTGACAACACGCCATATATGCATACTCGTTATCTGAAGATTTGTAAGTGTGAACTGGTGAAACAGAGTGTTATCATTGGTGTAGATGCAAAAGTTATCGTTATTGGTGTGAACGGGTCTTAATACTTGGGGACTAAGGTTTTGCAAAATCTCTAAGCCCAATTTTGCCTTTCCCCTACACCTCTGCTTTAACTCACCTAAGCACAGTAACATATTGCAAGCACTTCAAAGGCTTTGGACGGGCTTCAGAAGAGTCAGATGGGAGGCCTGGGACAGGCTTTTGTCCATCCTGTCGTCTGTTCTTCAGTCTCACTGAACTTTACAGCTGGTGGTCGTGTCCTCTGGGAGCGTCCACAGGCGATCAGCCAGGTGTTCAGGAGTCGGCCTGCTGCTACTGATGACAGACATGCTGAAACCGTAGAGAGTGGCTCAGTTAAAGCCTGAATCTGTAAGTCCCATTAAAGCCACTGTGTGTCACACTGTCCGTTTAAAGTCAGGCCAACTCTGAACATTTGCTGTGTAATGTTTTAGAAAATGATTTATAGGTATACATCTGATATCTTAGCCATAAAAAACACACCGAAATAATCCGGTCTGCACTATATTTGACTTATTGACCTGGAACATTCCTATCAAACAATTAAAGTCCAAATCATGGTTCAATTAGTCCAAATCACAGTTCCCTAAAACCAGAGGGAAACGATTGGTTGATATAAATAACGTTGTTCGACCTATGAAGCCTAACCCTACATCTAACCTTAAAGTGAACTGTAAAATCTGATCGGTGTGGTTCTCCGTCAGATGTTTCTGGGCCTTTCCTTACCACAAGCACTCTCGGGGAATGGAGAGTATGAAAGGTATTTTAAAAGAATAAATATACTAAACCACAACTATTTTGCAGTAGTGTTTCAGGTATATAATATAAGTTTATTGTTATTTCTGTGAGTTATGATTGATAGATGACTTAAGGGCCATTAAACAGTCTTCTGGCACTGGAAATAACCCTCTTTTACAGGCATCAACAGGCGTGAGAACCGCTCTTATTTTTGTAGTAGTAGTATCTACTAATATTTTGCAATATTGCAGTCATTACATTTTATATTTCTTTCTTTCTAAACAACTGAACTGTCATGTAAGCAAAGTTTGTTGTTGGTTACTTTTAAGACAAAGCTGTTATCTCGACGTGGCATTCATGTTAGCCCTTTCTGTAAAGAATAGTTTTTATTGACAATCAACATCAATACCCCTAATTATACTCGTCACTGAGGCGCAATTTGATAGTATGAGAATGAATGAGATGGTATTAATTCATATAAATTAGCCACCAATTTGCCAAAATGGAAAATATTTATGAATTGCCATGAGAATGTGGCCCTGTTGAGACCTGGTTTTAAGATGTGATTTGGTCGATCGGATCACAAGTGGACGACACTAAATACAGGTCTAAACGTTGTCTAAAACGTTTTGAGCTTATCCACCTTTGACTACTTCCAGAGGTAGTCGAAAACGCATTCATCCGGATTGCTTTCGTAGTGCACACGCTCATGTGGTCGAATGTGTTCGAACTGCCACAAAAGACCATCTAATCATACTGACCTATACACATTTTGGGAAGCGTGCCCGGCAGACAGGATTCAAGCTTTGTCAGCTAAAGACCTAAGTTTTGTTTGAAGGCAAAAAACATACCAAGCACAATGTTCTCTCACCATTCCTGATTTCTGACACACATTCACAGCGTTCGGAGGCATCTTGCGGCTGTCAAAAGCAGAAACAAAAGCTGCTCCGTATTTTTCCTGTCGATTCTGGTCGGGAAAATGTAAATTGCGTGAGTTTATTTTGTCCATCAGTTCGAAATTTCTGAAAAAGCCCAGACATTTACCTGTCCATAGACGCTACCCTAGAAGAAATCAGAACAGAAGTGGTTGAAAGTGGACAAAAGAGACAGATTAAAATGCCCAGTGTTCAATACCAGGTCTAAACAGGATCTGTGTTGGTGCTGTCATGACATAATTTTCATGCACTTAAATAGATCTTCTTGGTGGCAAGGAAATAGGGAAATGTGACTGTCATTTTAATCATTGCAAAAAGTTCTACTCATTTCTATGGGTGATACACTTTTGTGGGAAAAATAATTGCACCTTATTTCATCCGAAAATCGATCAAAACAACTACAAACCAACAACTCAGTTCTGCAAAATAAATGTCACACAAACGACACTGGCCCTTTAAATATCCCAGAGTGCTTTGCGCTTGCTAAAGGTAAACAAACCCGGGCTGTTGCTGAAACTGGACTGAATGAATTTGTTAAAGTTGCTGCAACTCCACTCCGTATTCAACATAACATACAGTAAACACAGAAGTGACAGTGTTTCGCCCCTCAAACCCGCATTTTTGTTTGATTTATTCAAAATAATCCGCACTTAGAAACATGTTGCAGGGTGTTTTGCTATAGCGACATGACGCTATTCTATATCTAGATCTTGATAGAAAGACAGGAATAAACTTATGGTTTGGGGAAAATATATAGCCTAATATTCTGTAATATTTATAATGACGACACGGAAGAGAAAGAATTTATCATTACCTCAATCAGAATCTGGAGATGGTGAACGTCCTCCCAAGAAACTCATACAGAGTCAGTCTGACACGAAATCTGCGGATCATCATCATCTCAGCCCTTATTTCTCAATGAAAGACCCCGTCAGACTGAGTGACAGCTTCTTCCACCAGCCCTGCGTTGACCTGGCGAAGGCTTTTCTCGGAAAGGTAAACTGAGAGAAGGGTCCGATCTCAGGAAATCACCTCATATGAAAAGGTTACTGCTGAACTTTCAAGAAATCACGTTCCTAAAGTGTCATTGTTGTTATTGTTAACTAAAACTATATTACTAACTAAAATATAACTAACTAAATATATATATTATATTTATTCTTATTGATTAGCCTATATCAGCACTAGGTACAGTAGCCTACATTATATCATTGGAATATAGATGGAACACACATGGCATTTAAGTCCTGCACAACGCATTAAATGTTTAACTTAATATTAGTTATTTTACATTCAAAAGGTCAGGAAAGGCATCACGTATGAAGGAAAGAGTTAAGAGTGTAATCCTGAGCCATCTTCCTGTCAAAAGGCTGAAAAATGTACCCCAAGCCTATAAAAAATTATTCACAGAAACTGTGATGAAATCATGGAGTGACACCCAGAAATGAGCAACAACATCCCTAGCACATACTCATTCCTTGGCAAGAGTCAGTGTTCATAAGCCCAATTCTGACTTGATGGAGGAAAAAATGTTCTGTAATGCTACAAAATAGTGTTGGAACTAATGCATGAATGCTTATAAAATGTGTTCAAATCAGCATGAAACAAGCTGCGAAGGTTTTTTCTTCCCTATTGTGACATATATCTATGGAAGCTTGTTTCCACCACTGACACAATTGCGAGATATGAAGTCAGAATTGTGAGATATAACTTTATATCTCGCAGTTCTGACTTTATATCCCACAATTCAGATTTCAGACTTTATATCTCGTAATTCTTACTTTATATCTCGCAATTCAGACTTTATATCTCGCAATTCAGACTTTATATCTCGTAATTCTTACTTTATATCTCGCAATTGCGACATTATATCTCGCAATTCTGACTTTATATCCCGTAATTCTGACTTTATATCACGCAATTCTGACTTTATATCTCGAAATTCTGACTTTATATCTCCAATTGTGAGAAATAATGTCAGAATTGCGAGATGTAAACTCGCAATTGTGAGAAAAAAGTCTGAATTGTGAGATAAAAAGTCACAATTAGCTACCTTTTTATTTTCCATTCTGTGGCGGAAACAAGTTTCCATATATATCAGAGTGAAACGGCTTCTTGAACAAGAAAAAATGTAGGGCGGGATTTAATTTTGTCCTTTGGGAATTGAATGTATGGTTGTGGTTTGCTAATAGACGATCTCATGTTGTCAGTAAACACGTCATCAGTGAAGAAAAGTCAAGAGAGAGGGGGAAGTTATTTTGTTTTGCACGGATGAATCATTTATAATAAACACTGCAATATTCCATTTCCCATTTTGCCAATAAATATAGAAAGTAATTTAGATATAAAGTTGAGAATCACTTTGGCTTCTAGTTTTTAATGACTCCCTGTCTTCTTGACTGCAGACAGCATCAATTGCGCTACACTGATTCTCTCACTGCATGTGAACACTTGAAATACAGCTTAACCTCATGGAACCAACTGAATGACAGTTAAATGCAGAGCACAGAATAGACTCGACCGGACACAGAAAGGCCTAATTAGCATTTTAATGAGGTTTAAAATGGAAAGAAGGCTGCTGAAAACATTGAGGCTACTCTAACGAGAAAGTTAGCCACATCGTTGCATTACGGTGCCGATTTTCAGGTTGATTTAACCAGCACAAATGATGCCCTTGTTTGTTTTCATTTTACCAGTGTTTAAATAAGGGGGTGTTAATGAGAAGCATGAAAGGCCATTATCATGTGGAAGGTTATCCGGTCTGACCCATAATAGGTTGCTCGGTGTGACCAAGCACTCGTCCAGCGTGACAGCCTGCAGCCAGAGTGGTGGAGAAGGTGACACGACTTGTGGCTTTCACACTCTGTAGCGCTCACTGCATAAACATCGTTCACATCTGTCTTGTATTTGCTTTACCTCCCTGCATGACTGGCTGTAGCATCTTTTAGCACCTTTCAAAGGATAAGTGAACCAAGAACCCACTATGATTGAACACGGACTTGTGTCATGGTTAGTTTTCTGGTTTAAAACACAAATGTCAAGTTCTTATAAATGTAGACTTTGTATTCATTTATGGTTTTGAAAAACTTTACATAAAGTTTACATGACTCTAAAAATATCATGTAATATATTGTTTGTACACCTTAAATATATTTTAACATTAAAAAAAGTTTTACAAACATTTTTCAAACTAAAAAATTAAAAAAAAAAAATGTTTTGGGGAGTCATTTTACAACCTGAACCAAAGAGAAAAAGTCTATTTTAAATAAATGCTGTTTTTTTTTATCTCACAACTTTCTGAATCCTGGAAAAAAGGATAAGTTTGACATAAATATTAACGGAATAGTTCACTTTTTAAAAAAAACTTCTTTCTACAATCGAAAAGAAATTAAGGTTTTTGATGAAAACATTCCAGGATTTCCTCCATATAATGGACTTCATTGGGAACCAAACGGTTCAATGTCCAAATGAGAGTTTCAGTGCAGCTTCAAAGGGCTTTAAACGACACCAGACGATGAATAAGGGTCTTATCTAGGACGCTTCGAGTCATGACTCGAAAAAAGATTTGTTCAGTCACGAACACTCATCACAGTAATCGACCATTTGAGCTTATGAAACTTAAACTTTTTTTTTTTTTTTAAATGACCAATCGTTTCGCTTGATAAGACCATTATTCATCGTCTGGTGTCGTTTAAAGCCCATTCAACAGTTTGCACTTAAACTGTCTTTTGGACCTTGAACCGTTTGGTTCCCAATGAGTGTGTGTGAATGTGTGTGTCCCTGTTTTATCATTTATCATAAACATATCACAATCATAGATCCAGTGGTTTAGAAAAACAATAGCCCACCTTTACTGAAAAAGCAACAAGTCAAGGTCTCATCATTAGCCAGCACATGTGATTCTAGTCTCAGTCGTTATAACATATTGGCACATTTGCTCCACCTGCTGGACATAAGATGGTGTTTTTGCAGGATATTATGTTTCTGTTTATTAGGTGTTGGTGAGGAAACTAACTGATGGCACTGAGCTCAGAGCAAGGGTTGTGGAAACCGAAGCATATTTGGGTGGGGAGGACAAGGCGTCCCACTCAGCGGGGGGGAAACGCACAGAGAGGAACACTGCAATGTTCATGAAGCCTGGCACCATCTACGTCTATCCCATCTACGGCATCTACCTCTGCATGAACGTCTCCAGCCAAGGTGAGGCTCCAAAATCCACACATAGGAAAAAGTCTTTACATGAGATGGAGCCGGAAGGCTGTAACCACAGATTCCTCATCGGTAGTTGCGCAAGAAACACGTGTTTTGATGCCGTTATGCTTCTCTCCAACTGTTTCTCATTATAGGTCAAGTTGGCACATTACATAAGACCTAGAGAAAGGTTGGAGCATATGCACAAAGACACAAGCCAACAGGAAGGAGACAGTGAGGAGCCTTGCTAACTACTTTACTATATGTGTGTGTGTGTGCAGGGGAGGGAGCGGCCGTGCTTTTGCGCTCGCTGGAGCCTTTGAGCAGTCAGGACGTCATGAGGGGCCTGCGAGCGGCCAAACGCAAGGCTGGAGCCAAAACCCTTCGGGACAAAGAGCTCTGCAATGGCCCGTCCAAGTTGTGCCAAGCGCTAGATATACAGCGCTGCTTCGACCGCAGGGATCTGGCCACTGATACAGAGGTGTGGCTTGAGAGGGACCCCGAGCGAGAGACTGTTCCCCTGGAGAGGTGGTGTCGGCCCATCGGATCGGAGTGGAGTCTCATGGGGAATGGGCAACCAAACCGCTTCGCTTCTACCTGAGAGGACACCCATGTGTGAGCGTCCTGAACAGAGATGCAGAGCGTCAGATGGAAAGGACAGTCTCCTGAAAGATCTTCATGTTATTCGGTCTCTTTAAAGAGATTGTCATCATCTACTCACTCCCATGTTGTTCTAAACTTGTATATTTTTTTTGTTATTTTGGAGAACAGAAAAGGAGAAGTTTAGCAGAATGTCCATGTTGCTCTTTTTCTATATAATAAAATAGATGGTGCCCAGGGATCTTCAAGCGCAAAAAAAGGACAAAAAGCACCATTAAAGTATCATGAAGTGTGCTTTATATTCTAAACGCTATTCTCTATAATCTTCTAAGGCCGTATAATAACGTTGTGTGAGCAAAAGGTTGAATTCTACGGAGGCGTATTACATTCACTTGAAGAAAAAACATCTTCTCTATTTTTCTGAATTAACAAGATAATTATTTCAGAATTACGAGATAATTTTTCATGGAAAAAAGTTTTTGCTCTGTTTTTCTGAATTAACGAGTTAATTTTTATGAGAATTTTTTTTTTGCTCTGTTCTTCTGAATTAATGAGTTAATTTTTCATGAGAAAAAAAGTTTTTGCTCTGTTTTTCTGAATTAATGAGTTAATTTTTCATGAATTGTTTTTTTTTTGCTCTGTTTTTCTAAATTAACTTGTTAATTCAGAAAAACAGAGCAAAAAAAATTCCATGAAAAATTAACTCGTTAATAAAAAAAACTGAGCAAAAAAAATTCGGTGAAAAATTAACTCATTAATTCAGAAAAACAGAACAAAAACTTTTTTTCTCATGAAAAATTAATTCATTAATTCAGAAAAACAGAGCAAAAAAAATTCTCATGAAAAATTAACTCGTTAATTTAGAAAAAACAGAGCAAAACATTTTTACATGAAAAATTATCTCGTAATTCTGAGATAATTAACTTGTTAATTCAGAAAAACAGAGTAGATTTTTTTTCTTCAAGTGAATGCAATACGCCTCCGTAGAATTCTACGTCTTTATTCACCAATAATTGTCTTAACTCACCTCACAAAGCCATCAGATTGAGAGTATAACACACATCTATCATGCTTATCATTTAGTCTTTTCTCGAGCTTGAAAGCGTTACTTTGTGTATTGACAACAAAAAAAGAGCAGCACAAATCACAAGCCTCTACGGAAGAAGACATGCAGGTTTGGAACAACATGAGGGCGAGTGAATAATGAGAATAGCCGTTTTTGATTGAACTATTCCTTAGAGTTTGATTTCTGAACAGCTCTGTTTTTTGTAACGTTTCTTTAGTCGTGTTATTCCTGGTGCTCATTGATTTTACAGATGTTTGGAAAACCATTCGCACCTCATATAGAAATTACAACCCCCTTTTTCTCTTTCTCTTCCCGATTCCTGTTTCTCTTCAGGGCACGCATTCTTATAGTCTGGAATTGCCATCATGGCATGTGTTTTTGGTCTTGTTTGCTTGAGGAGATGAAATATCACACCAGGGAACGATATCAAAATAGGAGATGCTTGGGTGGAATACTTAAACGATCCATTTAATGGCTGCCCGAGGATGAACTGCACATCACGACCACTGAATCATTTATTAAAATCAACCACATATGAGCTAAAATCATGATAACATAAAAAAATCTTTGGTCAACAGAGTTATATACAGTAGATTATGCGAGACTCACTCTGAAATTGAGCGCTGAGCAGGTCATTATTTTGTTGCAGAAGAACACAGTTTCCTCCTCAATTAGGTTATTTAAGCCACTGATGATGATCAAACACGTCACCCCGTCCTCAGACTCGTGATCTGTTTACTCTGGTGGAGACTGGAACAGAGAGATGATGGGGTCCTCATGATTGGTTATGACTAAAACACTGCGAAACTTGTCGAATAAAGTTTTCAGCTGCGAGCGACGCATGTTCTCATTGTACATGATCTCTTCCAGGTGATGATGCCCTCTGAAGTAATGCAGAAGTCTGAAGAAATAAAACACTTTCTACATTAATATGCACCCAAATAATCCATTTAAAATAAGACTGATTGGACTTCAAGGAGTAGTTCACTTAAAAAAAACTTTTGCTGATATTTCTCACCCGCATGTCATCCAAGATGTCCATGTCTTTCTTTCTTCAGTCGAAAAGAAATTAAGGTTTTTGATGAAAACATTCCAGGATTTTTCTCCATATAATGGACTTCAGTGGGAACCAAACGGTTCAAGGTCCAAAAGAGTTTCAGTGCAGCTTCAAAGGACTTTGAACGACACCAGACGATGAATAAGGGTCTTATCTAGCCTAGCGAAACGATCGCTCATTTAATAAATAAATAACAAAGTTTAAGTTTTATAAGCTCAAATGGTCGCCTTGCTCTGTTCTGTGATGCTTGTTCGTGACTCTCCTGTTCGAACTCGTTCATTAAAATGAACGAATATTTTTCCGAGTCATTTGGTTCATTCAACGAATGAATTGACCTGGAAAAAGATTTGTTCATTTTGATAAACGAGTTGGAACAGGAGAGTCACGAACAAGCATCACAGAACAGAGCAAGGCGACCATTTGAGCTTATAAAACTTAAACTTTGTTATTTATTTATTAAATGAACGATCGTTTCGCTTGATAAGACCCTTATTCATCATCTGGTGTCGTTTAAAGTCCTTTGAAGCTGCACTGAAAATCTTTTGGACCTTGAACTCTTTGGTTCCCATTGAAGTCCATTCTATGGAGAAAAAATCCTGGAATGTTTTTATCAAAAATCTTAATTTCTTTTCGACTGAAGAAAGAAAGACGTGGACATCTTGGATGACATGGGGGTGAGTAAATTATCAGCAAAAGTTTTTTTTTAAGTGAACTACTCCTTTCATGTAAACACCTCAGTCGATGCGATTGAGCAAATTTCCGAATTAAATCTTGATCGGGCTGTTGTAGACCATAAATAATCCAATAAACAGGACAAATATAAGCACGTAAACACTTGAATCGGACTATTTTCTGACAGTGCCGTGACACATTTACATTTTACGTCTTATAAATGTGCATATCTTATGTCTCACATCTTATGAACTGGGCTGCGTTTCCTGCATTTGTCAACAAGGCAAAAACAACATTTATGCTTGCGGTACTGTAGCTCAGATGACATTATCGGTTCATTTAGTCTGATTCTGATCACTGCACATGTGTTTAAAAATTTAGTTTGGAATACATGTAATGCACACGTAAACAAAAATATGAATCAAACTTCAGTGTTTAGGGTTCAATATAAACTTTCAGAATCAGAAATTGGAATGGATTCATTCTGAAAGATGAAAATTAGTACAAACTTACAAAAACACACCTACTGTTCAGAACAAAGTCACATTTGAGATAAAAAAAAAGCTATAAAAACCACTCTGTCACCTGGCAAACAAGCGCAGATCCTCTGGGTTCTGTGCCGCTGGGACACGGAGAATGGCCTGCCGCTCATGTTCGGTCAGGCTGGCCAAAAGCGTTTCGGTCATTCTTTTATTAAGAGGAGAGTCTCCTCCGGTCTGCAGCTCAGCGCTGGAGTTTTCCATACTGGGACTCGTCAGGGTCATGTCATCGCTACTTGCTGCAGAAAGAAAATGAGAGAAACTACTGAGACTTTATTTGATTATTTATAATGTGAGTGTCTATGGTGTTGTAGTTAACTGGGTTACATACTGGGAGAGCCGAAGCTCAGGGCACTGGGAGTGCTCAGACTTCGACCTGTAACGCGTGCCGCTAGGGGTGGCTCCTCCTCGCGCAGACCTGGCTCCTCCTCAGTGGGCGGGACCAGCAGATAAACATACGTATGGATCTGAAACAGCAGCCGGTGCTGGAGCATCCATACCACCATCTGAATGAGCTGGGCCTGCCCAGATACACACATAATGGTAACAATAATCGTCGTTCATCTACAATTCTTAAAGGGGTACTTCACAGCTGGCAAAAAGGGTTTTCAATCAAATTTGGCTGTCTATACAGTAAAAAAGGGTGAAAGCTGTTATTTAAATCAGTGATACCTGACTAGAAATCCTATAACTGGGCATGTTGCCGTCCAAGGCCACTCCCACTAGTCATCTACGGATACAGTGTGCTTGACCAAAGTCAAATACGACCTAGCTTTAGTAGGAAATACTCCTTAGCAAACCTTTAATCCCAATGGTGTCAACTTGTATTGTTCTCTTTGCAAGAATTTAAAGAGTAAACCTTTAGTGGGAGTACTTTCGGTTTCGGATTGTAGGCAGTGGCTAGTTAGTATAATTTGCTCAGTTTGACGTGATATAATAAGCGATCGTTAGATTTAATCAGCGAGATTTACTGCAATGTTTTTTTTCCCTTAGTTGGTCCGAAGAACAAAAGTGGTCGTTGCTTACTTGTTCAGATTACATTTTCCGGTGAGGAATGTTGGTCATACGTCCTAAAAGATTTATCTGTGATTCTGAATGCCAGTATCCACACCGGCACACAGTGACTGACAGCCTCACAGTCTCCTCAAAACATTGGTTTCATCCGTGCAGTGCCGTGCCGAGGCACAACTCAAGTAAAGTTGATAATTCTGTGAATGACTGCAATTGCAGATTTCGAACAGAGATGGCGACAAAGAGTAACAACTGCAGACTGCAGCTTTAAAGTATAAAGAATAACGTTTTAGTGAATTTATTTACTAATCTCATAGTTCTGATATAGACTGGGCAGACGCATGTGGTAAGTCTAAATTTCAACGCATCTAAAGCTCAGATTGGATCAGAAAATTCTGCATTCGCATATGTACTACTCTCCATTGAAAAGAAATGACTTCCAGCGTGTTGTTTGTCTGAGATAGTAAAATTGTGGCTTACGACACTAACCTCATGCACAGGGGCATCCAGTGGATTCCTGAACTCCGACAGAGATACAGGAAGTGAGAACTTGGCTAACATGGAAGGCAGGTCATGACCTGGAAATTGGAGGGCGAACTCATCAGCCAGAGGAGAGTAGCTGGGAGGAGGAACACACAAAATCACGATTAATGTCTGCAGAGAGGTATTTTGAAGGAATTAAAAGAAGTTACATTTGTTACAGTGTGTTCATTAACACGGACAATGCAAAAGAGCTTCGATTGGTTTTCCAGAGAGCACACACTCACATGGAGATGTTTGCATGGGGGGAGAGCATATACACGTTGTTCTCGCAGAGAGGGTAGATAATGATGGCTTTACCCCAGTACACCAAATGCGCAGCTATCTGGAAGACCTGTGGGAGGCAGTGTTATATTTCAGAGCAGTGGCTCTCCAAGGGACCGGAGCCCAGTAGGGGGCCTCAGCAAACCACCTAGGGGGGCTTAAGATGACTCAACCCTCCTAATGCATTAAAAAAAAAAAACTGTGTACACCTGTTGCATTCCCGGGTTCGGTGGAACGTAAGCTTATTAAACAGTCATAACGTAATATTTTTCAGCTAAAACCACGTGGAATTTGATCAGTAATTTCACATTAATTGGTGAATGTGTAAAATGTTTTACAGTTTTGAATGTTACCATGTTTTTACCAAGCTAAAACTTAATTTAACTCCTTTTTATTCATTAAAAAAATTTATAAATTCTTTGAAAATTATAATGTTATAACAATTAGAGCAAAAACAGTGTGACGGAAGAATAAAATATTTTTTTTTTATCAATATTTATGAGAAATGTGTTATATGTCTATCTATGTATCTTTATACGTCATTTATTGGAACGTAAGCTTATTAAACAGTCATAACGTAATATTTTTCAGCTAAAACCACGTGGAATTTGATCAGTAATTTCACATTAATTGGTGAATGTGTAAAATGTTTTAAAGTTTTGAATGTTACCGTGTTTTTACCAAGCTAAAACTTAATTTAACCCCTTTTTATTCATTAAAAAAATAATAAATTCTTTGAAAATTATAATGTTACAACAATTAGAGCAAAAACAGTGTGACGGAAGAATAAAATATTTTTTTATCAATATTTATGAGAAATGTAATGTCTATATCATTATATGTAATTTATTGGAACGTAAGCTTATTAAACAGTCTTAAGTAACTTAATATATTTCAGCTAAAACCACATTGAATTTGATCAGTAACTTCTCATCAATTGGTGAATGTGTAAAATGTTTTAAAGTTTTGAATGTTACCGTGTTTTTACCATGCTAAAACTTTATTTAACCCCTTTTTATTAATTAAAAAAAATTAATAAATTCTTTGAAAATTATAATGTTACAACAATTAGAGCAAAAACAGTGTGGCGGAAGAATAAAAATATTTAACAATATTTATGAGAAATGTATTATATGTCTATCTATCATTATGCATTATGTATCAAATATCAAATACATGATGTGTTTTTTGACAATCAACACAATTTTTCGTTAATTTTTGGTCTAAAACTATGAATTTAAAAAAAAAACAACACATGATGTACCTCTTGCGTGTCAAAACGGACCCGAATGCATAAAGAGGGTTAAATGATTTAAAATAAGCCAAAACAACTACAAATTAAGAAATTTCTTATTCTAATTCAACCTTTCAACAACTATTTTACTTTTCTATGAAGAAACAGGATTCCCATATTACTAGAAAACCTGTAAAGATGTATCCTGTTTGTAAAACTGTGATTTCTGGACCTGGATTACAGTTAATGTAAATTAATAAATCTCAAAACAATTTTTATAATGAATATACATTTTTCTAGTTATGCAAAGCTCTAAAATATTTTGAGTAGAATTTGTAAAAAATAACAATAATTACATTTTATTTGATCCTTAAACAGTAAATAATGATGTGGACAATAAATATTATAGTCAAAATGGTTAAAAAACACTGTTTTATATACAGTATATATACTGTAGTCTTTCCAAAGCATTTCAGCCATAATATTATTATAACAGAATTATTTTCTGTCCACTAGGTGGCAGTATAAGACTAACGATAGCAAAAACAAATGCTATGACATGTTAAACATAACTCTTCATTGTATTTTTGCAAGGACTTACAACTAGAGCTTGTCTTTGTCAAACCAAAGAGAAGCTGAAAACATGAAAAAGGACATGGCTGATAAAAGTGTCATGTAATCAGTGACCTGCAGGAGAGCCAGGTCAGCGTCCTGAGCCAGCTGCTGCAGGTTCTTGACGGCTGAGCAGGTCTTGATGAGGCGCACTAGAGCAGGAGAGCAGTCCAGAGGGAGCTGAGCCAGCAAGGTCTTCTCACTGTCCAGCAGCAGCAGTGCATGATACGGCCTGCAGGGGGCACACACCACCACTTGAGTTCAAACTACACTCTGGACAAATAGCAAGTGCATTTGATCATGCAAGCAAAAAACCATGCTATTGCTGACGTAAATAGTATACACACTGTGCACAGAGAATAAATTACTATATTTGCCAAAAATAGCACTTTATAACAAAGCACACTGAGTACAATTTCCCATTGTTCAATGTAAACACATTTTGCTTGCATGAAACAAGAAAGAAAATGAGTTCACAAAATTGCATTAAGAAAGCAAATTAGCTGGTTTTATTTTCAAGAATATCAGCAACTTGCTGAATTAAATGCAACATGATGATGGGGACATCAACACAAATGTTTTGGATATATGCTGCCACTCACCGAATGGCCTTCAGGCTGCGCTCAAGAGCCTCTGGTGGGATGTGTTTCCCTCCTACACGGTGGATTTTGTGCGGAAGGCAGAAACTGACCTCAAGCCAGTTATTGATGTGAAGCCGAACAACTCCAGTTGTGCAGAGACTGAAAACAATAAAGTCTATAAGGATACCATGACAGAAATTACAAGAGTGTTTCTTTCAGTTTAAAATAGAGACTCAAGAGGTACTGCTTGTCTGTCCACCTTATTTTGCAAAGCAGAAGCTTTATTCTGTGAAATATGCGAGGCTTCGGATTCATTAGATGCTATAGGGAAATAACTAAAATAATAACAAAAGAGCAGTAAATTTGCTGTGTTTGTGATTAAAATAAATTTACAATAAATATCACACATTTAAGTTAAAAAAATTGACTCTTACATTCGAAATAAGTGGATACAACTGTATGCAACATTTAGTTGTATATGAAAATTATGTATTTCATGCATAAGAATTTAAAGGAGTAGTTCACTTTTAAAAAAACTTTTGCTGATAATTTACTCACCCCCATGTCATCCAAGATGTCCATGCCATTCTTTCTTCAGTCGAAAATAAATTAAGGTTTTTGATGAAAACATTCCAGGATTTTTCTCCATATAATGGACTTCAATGGGGACCAAACGGTTCAAGGTCCAATTGAGAGTTTCAGTGCAGGTTGAAAGGGCTTTAAACGATTCCAGACGATGAATAAGGGTCTTATCTAGCGAAACGATCACTCATTTAAAAAAGAAATAAAAAAGTTTAAGTTTTATAAGCTCAAATGCTCGCCTTGCTCTGTTCTGTGATGCGCGTTCGTGACTCTCGAACTCGTTCATCAAAACGAACAAATCTTTTTTTGAGTCATGACTCGAAGGGTCCTAGATAAGACCCTTATTCATCGTCTGGTGTCGTTTAAAGCCCTTTGAAGCTGCACTGAAACTCCCATTTGGACCTTGAACCATTTGGTTTCCAATCAAGTCCATTATATGGAGAAAATCCTGGAATGTTTTCATCAAAAACCTTAATTTCTTTTCGACTGAAGAAAGAATGACATGGACATCTTGGATGACATGGGGGTGAGGAAATTATCAGCAATTTTTTTTAACCCCTCAATAATCCCTGTTGCATTACATGCTGCATTATTAGCCCAGCAGGACATGTTCCTTTTGAACAATTATCCCAACTATCCTTACTCCTCCTAACCACAACCTAGTACCCCTAAAATCAAAGGGACATTTGTTGATAAGAATGCTACCAACCCGATGACAGGAATGGGTAAATGACGGTTAACGTAACACTACTCACCTGTCATAGGCTTCCTTTAGGTCTCGAGCTAATTTACACTTGGGAAGGATCTGGCGAAACGGCGACTGTGGGGTGCCGTCTGCTATAATAACAGGTAAATGTCATGGTGAAAATCATGTAATCATGATTATATTAGCAGGACAAACACTGAGGGGTGTCTCACTCTCAGTCATGGTGGTGACCTCGTCCTGCATTGCTAGCATGAGCTTGGCCTCTCTGGTGAGGTACTGGCATCTGCGCTCCTCGTGCTGCAGGGCTATGGCGATGCGACGAGACAGGTTATGCATGCAGTTGATGACTGAGGCGTCCGCATTGGCCTGAAGAACACAGTGAACACAGAGACAAACAGTTCTTGTTCATTTAATGAGAGGGTCACAATGTTCCATGAGTGATGTTGCATTTATTCATGCATACAATGGCTTCAATCGTAATAAACATTTTCCACGATGAGCAGTGTTGGGGGTAACGTACTACAAATAACGCAAGTCACATAATCAGATCACTTTTTTCAAGAAACCAGTAATGTAACACATTGCTTTTGAATTTAAACTTTTAAAAGGTACTATTTCAAACAAGCAACACAAGTTATTTTGTTTTCCCTTGCATTGACAGACAGCTCTCCTGTCCCCATGTTGAGATAAATCAGGAGTAAGTGTTGTGTAGATTAGACTGCATTTATGCACAAAAACAGATAATGAACAAAGAGTAACGTGCAAACTCAGAATATGACGCAAACCCGCAATAATTAAATTAGGTAAATAACACAAATATACTTTATGTATTCAATCTCACTTTATTGGCCAATGTCTTTGCTGCTGACCTTCGATGATTAATTCAAACATAAGCAAAAATTACTTTAGATGACCATCACATAGTGTTTCTTTCTCTCATTTTTTTTTCTTTTATTGCATAGCCCTCAAACTGTATTCACGTTATAGCTCTTAATCCTGTAATTGTGGACAAATGTGGGCACAGAGGAATTTTTATTTATTATAAATGTTATATCACTGTCTTCGATAAAGTTTTGTCTATCCATTTATGTTTTTTTTTATTTTATTTTGGGGGTATTTTTGAATTTATTTACTTCAAAAAGTACCATATTTTTTTGCAGATTATGCTTATTTTTATGTTTTATTTTTTTAACTACATTAAAATATCATTCCAATAAGTTCTTAGAGCTAAAACCTAAAGATGAAGTGACTTTGCTGTCACCCGGTGTCTTATTTCAGCTTATTTTAGAATGCTCTAAATTACAGTTTTTGCCATTCATTTCTATGGGTGCCCATTTTTGACCCAAATACAAGATTAAGAAGTTTTTTTTTTTCACCCACTTAACATTGTAGAATTGAGTCCAAAAAAAAAATGTGTGTGATCAGGCTTGTAACGCTCAGATCAAGGGAAGTATTTTTTAAAAATAAATCAAAACTATTTTGCCCACATTTGTCCAGAATACAGTTTTAGGGTTAAATAAAAGTGCTAAGCTTTCTTCTCCTGCATCCTATTCTTCTGTAATCCAGAATGTAAAGTTTGTATGAGCGGCGCCGTGTACTTTACAGGAGTTCAAAATTGGCCAAAAATAGAACTTTTTTTTTTTTTTTTTTTGGTTATTAAAAAATAAATCAAACAAGAAGAGAAAAGTAATACTAAATTAATGTAACATTACTTTCCATAAAAGGTAATTTTGCTTTAAGGTTGCTTTAAGTAGTAACACAATATTGTAATTACTTTTAAAAGTAGCTTTGCCCAACACTGGTGATGATTTTATATTTTTTGGGGGACAAAGTAAAACATGTCAAACTATGCTGAAATCTTAATGAATAAACTAAAAAAAAGCTTAATTGAAAAGAACAACATTTTTTAAAAGATAAATTTGGTATAATCGTATATTTTAATAAAACTGTTTCACTGCTTTCTTAAAATCCATTAAAATCATGTAGTTCAACATTTAACCTATTCAAGGTGTGAAAAACATATGTTAGTACTTTTTGCTTGGTTTCACTACATGACATTTTTAAATTTTTAACTTCAAACTTAAAAATTCTCAAAACCCTATGAAACAAATATTAATATAAACAGTACATATATAAAGAAAAAAAAACAGTTATAGATGACTTTTCTTTGTAGATGACTTTTCTTTTACACATATCTCTAAAGCAAACTATAAAATGACAGCCAAAAACCTGTCTTTGTTGGCCTTTTGTTAAAAAATGTTTTTAACTTTTCCTTTTTTAATGTTCACGATGCCTCACAAGGAGCAAAATAAGATGAAAAAATTCTCCTAGATTTAATATCCTAATATTTGTAATATGCATGTGCAGTGTACTGTAGTAACATGATTATAGATGACAAGAAACCTAAAGTTGTATATAATCTAATTATAAGTTAAAACGTTCCAGTTAAATCTAAATGTGCACATTATTCCACAAATTACTATTTAGTCCACAAAAATACAGTACATGATGTATATATGATAACAGTCTTTGTTCATTTGATTCATGCAGTAATTGCACACAATGACTTGAATAGACCTTTTGTGTCATTAACATGTTTGTCATTTCTGCATTTTAATATTTGTACCTAATTAGGTTGTACAACCTAATATTTTACAGAATATATTCTTGTGCCCATATGGCAAATTCGCCGAGTAACGGTGGGCAGTGTGACAGAGGGAGGGTCCCGAGTACAGGGAGTGGGCATTGCTGGAGAACTGATAGGAGCGTGAGTGTGCGTTTTCTGCAGCTGGAGCTTTGACTCAGCTCTCTGCCATGTTTAGTCATGGTGGCAGCGGGGCGGGTCTGATCATGTGTGGTCTGATTGTGAGGAGAACAGAGTCCCGCCTCCCTGTCAGGCTGTCTGATAGACAGCACATGGGAGGCTTATCAAAATCAACACCCTTTCTAAGAAACTCTTGACCTCACATATCCTCACAAACAGCTGATTCACTACACAGGGGCTTCAAAAGTATTCTGGAATTAAAAATGTATACTTTTTCTTTTGCAATACATCTTAAACAATGATCAAACCAAATTATGTTATCTCCCCCCACCCCTCCCCTTAGTTCAGATAGATGTCCTGTCCTTTATCAAGCATACATTGACCCTGACACTGACATTTTGAATCTTTATTTAGAACAAAACTCCAATGCCATGAGTCACATATTTTAAGTGTACCTTAATGTCTTTGGGGGCCAACATATCAAATAGTGTTTTTTAAGATAGTAATTACATTTAGTTAAGTTATTAAATCTTAAAAATGTCAAATTAAAATCAATAATTCAAAAATCAAAATCAAATAAAAATAACACTAAAAAATATCTTTGGGGGCCAACATATCAAATAGTGGTTTTAAGATAGTAATTACATTTAATTAAGTTATTAAATCTTAAAAATGTCAAATTAAAATAAATAACTCAAAAATCCAAATCAAATAAAAATAAAAATAAAACACTAAAAAATATCTTTGGGGGCAAACATATCAAATTAGTGGTTTTAAGATAGTAATGGCATTTAATTAAGTTATTAAATCTTAAAAATGTAAAATTAAAATAAATAATTCAAAAATCAAATAAAAATAAAAATAAAACACTAAAAAATATCTCTGGGGGCCAACATATCAAATAGTGGTTTAAGATAGTAATTACATTTAATTAAGTTATTAAATCTTAAAAATGTCAAATTAAAATAAATAACTCAAAAATCCAAATCAAATAAAAATAAAAATAAAACACTAAAAAATATCTTTGGGGGCAAACATATCAAATTAGTGGTTTTAAGATAGTAATGGCATTTAATTAAGTTATTAAATCTTAAAAATGTAAAATTAAAATAAATAATTCAAAAATCAAATAAAAATAAAAATAAAACACTAAAAAATATCTCTGGGGGCCAACATATCAAATAGTGGTTTAAGATAGTAATTACATTTAATTAAGTTATTAAATCTTAAAAATGTCAAATTAAAATAAATAATTCAAAAATCAAAATCAAATAAAAATAAAACCCTAAAAAATATCTTTGGGAGAAAACATATTAAATTAGTGGTTTTAAGATAGTAATTGCATTTAATTAAGTTATTTAATCTTAAAAATGTAAAATTAAAATAAATAATTCAAAAATCAAAATCAAATAAAAATAAAACACTAAAAAATATCTTTGGGGGCAAACATATCAAATTAGTGGTTTTAAGATAGTAATTGCATTTAGTTAAGTTATTTAATCTTACAAATGTAAAATTAAAATAAATAATTCAAAAATCAAATAAAAATAAAACACTAAAAAATATCTTTGGGGGCCAACATATCAAATAATGGTTTTAAAATAGTAATTGCATTTACTATTTTTGCATTTACTAAAATAAATAATTCAAAAATCAAATAAAAATAAAAATAAAACACTAAAAAATATCTTTGGGGGCCAACATATCAAATAATGGTTTTAAAATAGTAATTGCATTTAATTAAGTTATTAAATCTTGAAAAATGTTAAATTAAAATAAATAATTCAAAAATCAAATAAAAATACAAATAAAACACTAAAAAATATCTTTGGGGGCCAACATATCAAATAATGGTTTTAAGATAGTAATTATATTTAATTAAGTTATTAAATCTTGAAAAATGTCAAATTTAAATAAATAATTCAAAAATCAAATAAAAATAAAACTCTAAAAAAGATTAAAAATAATATTTTAGTTTGTTTACCTGCATGTCATTAAACCATAAACCAATATCAGAGAATCTTATTAAGATTCTCTAATAAAACTTTATTATTTCCCTATAACTTATTAACTGAAAATTGCAGGAGTAACTTCAAGTAAATATAGTACGTGAAAGAGGTGACGGAAAAGTTGGGGAATCCCTGCATTGAATGTAAATATGAAATGACGTGAATTTGTATTCACATCATGTGTTTGATGGACAATAGCCTTCCATAACAATAGAGATATTGTAATACATGGTTAAACGAGTCACTGAGTGAAAATTAATGTGTTTGTCAGGAGCTGAATAGATATGCAGTGTGGCAATGTTAAGAAAACACTTCTGATTATCTCATTAAGAGTTTGTTTAAATATGATGTTTTCTTACCCTTAAAGCAAAAACCACACTGAACAGGATCATGGTGGGCAGCTCTCTTTTTGGGGATGGGTCAGTTTTGGAGACCTGGGTAAAGGAATATCATTAATAAGTAGAATTAGATTAAGCTCATTTTATTATTAAACATGCCTTTCAAAAGGTAGACACATGATGATACCTTTAGAGCACTGATGAATAATGTTAGTTGTCTTTGAAAGTTGCGTATATTACGGTAAATGAATTGAATGTTGCATTAAGTGTATTGCAGTTCAAGTTCTAAAAAAGTACAATCTTGACTTATTTATAATAAGTCATGACAACTATAATTATATATTTGATAAATAAATGTGTGCATGTAGATTATACTTTCATTTTGCAGGTTAGTATAACAGAGTTTTGTGTTGTTAACATACATAACAGAAAAAGTGATAATTTAATAATCAGAATCAATTCAGAATTTTTCTGCAGCTTGAATCTTTGCTGTAAAGCAAGTTAAATTCTCATTGAACAAAAGCAAAGTATTTCTTGGCATAGTGGTCTCCTTACATATGTTCTCTCTAACAGAAGGTGGAGCTGTAAGCCTGTGATCATGGTAGCAGTCAGTGCCTAATAATATCAGCAGCTCATCATACATACATGCAGCTGTTTCCTGACACTCAAACATTTGAGCCGTTTATGGGAAGAAAAAATGGCCAAATTTCACAGTTCAAAATCCTTTCCTAACCTAATGCAGTACAGAATATAGTTCAAAATCCTGGAGTCAGTAAGATTTTTAAGAAACTAATACTTTTATTCATCAAGGACGCATTTAATTAATCAAAAGTGACAGTAATTGATCAGATTTTGGTTTCCACCAACTATTAAGTTAATTAAACTATTAACAGTTTTTAAAATTGATAATAATAAATGTTTCTTGAGCAGCAAATCATCACGTTAGAATGATTTCTGAAGGATCATGTGACACTGAAGACTGTAATGAAATGATCCTGAAAATTCAGCTTTAAAGGAGTAGTTCACTTTAAAAAAAAAACTTTTGCTGATAATTTACTAAAAGTTTCTTGATTAATAATCGAAAAGAAATTAAGGTTTTTGATGAAAACATTCCGGGTTTTTCTCCATATAATGGACTTCAATGGGGTCCAAACGGTTCAAGGTCCAAAAGAGAGATTCAGTGCAGCTTCAAAGGGTTTTAACGACACCAGACGATGAATAAGGGTCTTATCTAGCGAAACGATCGCTCATTTAATAAATAAATAAAAAAGTTTAAGTTTTATAAGCTCAAATGCTCGCCTTGCTCTGTTCTGTGATGCGCGTTCGTGACTCTGCACTGAAGCTGCACTGAAACTCTCATTTGGACCTTGAACCGTTTGGTTCCCATTGAAGTCCATTATATGGAGAAAAATCCTGGAATGTTTTCATCAAAAACCTTAATTTCTTTTTGCATGAAGAAAGAAAGACATGAACATCTTGAATGACATGGGGGTGAGTAAATTATCAGCAAAACTTTTTTTTTTAAAGTGAACTACTCCTTTAACATCACAGGAATAGATAACATTTTAAAATACATTAAAACAGAAATGAGTTATATTAAATTGCAATCAAATTTCAGAAGATATTTGGTATGTCTCACCTGAATACTATGCGGAAGCTGCAGTAAAGTTGGATGTCCGACAAAGCGCACATTGTCTATTTTTAGTTCAAACTTCTTGCCGCACATATCAGACTTGGTAGCCAAGATGGTGGCGAGAATAATATCGGAAAACCTTTGAAGGTAAATGAAGAAAAAGAGGAATGAAAAAAAGACATCGCCGGAAGAGTAAAACTAAAATCACCGGGTGCAATTAAGGCATAATAAGTGCTAATCTACTCATAAAAACACTCTCTAAACATATTTCTAGGGGATTCACAAGGGGTGGGTGATTGGGTAAATGATTCAGTGAAGCCTCTAGACTTTCTCCCCTGATCTAAACCTTTAAAATGCACTTATAAGTGAGTGATAGTTTCCCTCTGGCAGTGATGAATTTAAATATCGCTCACTGTATATATTTCACCCACTCAGACAAGTTCTTTAGCGAGACAGACCCCAAGAAGGCCCGTGGCACACAAGTCAGTGGTCTGATTCAAACATTTAATTATGTGCGGAGGAAAGAAAGAAAGAAAGAAAGAAAGAAAGAAAGAAAGAAAGAAAGAAAGAAAGAAAGAAAGAAAGAAAGAAAGAAAGAAAGGAAAACAGGACTTGAAATGTGTTGAGTTCATGAGAATTGCATTAATGCAGGCCCATCACCTGTAACCACACTGGATTGAATAGCATTTCTTGATTGCAAACGTATCTCAGGTGATTCCCAAAATACTGTATTTCAATTAATTTCAATGAATGTAAGAGCAAAATCATAATCGTACCAATGCAACTTCTTCAAATGCATGACCCGATTTAAGCTGATACTTTGACATAAATTACACAGGCTATCACAATTACTCAAATTTCTCGTACGTAATTATCAGGAAGAGAAAATGAACAAAGATGTGGTGCTCTGGAAAAAGGAGAGGTGGTTTAGAGAATGGGGGTTTAATCTTACCCTGCTACCAACTGTTCATCAGTTAATGGAGTTTGTTCTCTGAAATGGGAATAGGGCCATAAAAAAGAAAAAACAAAACAACAAAAGAAAGAAAGAAATGCAGCAGACAAGTTGGCAGGATGCATGACATAGGGGTGACAAAAACAAACCAAATTTTAAGATTGAAGATTGATCATCCAGGACAGTAAGTTTCTTTTCTTTTTACATATTTAATACTGGTGGTTACAATGTTTAAGGGGCTATATGTACGAATTGTCTTGTATTAATCGCTTTTATTTATTACCAATGTCTGAACATCCCATTAACGAAATAGGTCGTCTCTGAAAGCCTGTCGGCTGATTTGTACGTGATGGATTCGGGACAGTTCTGACAGGAAAATCAAAAGCATGTGACGATTACAAGCGCTCCAGAGAGACTCTCTTTCGTTCTATGACACATGAAACAAATGTGTCAGGATAATGCCCAAAGAGCCGCAAAGAAAAGGGATTCATTTTAACTATAGCCTCAGCCAGATCTATATAGTCTATGGTCTCAAATATACTTTAGTAATAAACTATTATAATATGGATGACGTCAGGATATCATTGAAAGGGTATTTCCAACTTTTTTCTACTTCTAAGCGAAGAATGAAAATGAACTTTACCATTGCTTTGTCCGAAATCACCCACTACTCACTATATAGTAGACTATATAGTGAGCTCGCCATTTTGTAGTTCTGTCCGAATGTATAGTGATGATTATTATACCCTATATAGTCCACTCAGTGTATCCCAGAATGCATTTTGAAAAGTAGTGTACAACCGATGGTCACTAACCCAAGCCTTACATACCATCATGCATTGCGCTGATCGAAAAAATAAGTTATAATCATGTGTGGAGTAGCGCATTATAACAGAAACGGCCAGAAATGACAGAAATGAAATTTTGGATAAATAAGCTCAATGTAACGAGCCGGCTCTGGGCTCTCTAAATAGATTTTTTTTTTAAATAAATACATTACATTAGTAATGTAATGTATTTTGTAATGTATTTATTAAAAAAAATCTATTTAGAGAGCCCAGAGCCGGCTCGGCACCAGCAGACAGATGATGGCGCGTTTAAATAGTGCGACAGCAATGACGTAATCAACGGCGCCGAGAGACGATCGAGTAGTGACCGAAAGTGGTTCTATTATGCTGGTGAGCTCACTATATAGTGCTCTATAGTTACTATATTAGTGGTTTGAGTGGAAATTTCGGACACAGCGCATGAGTGTATCAGAGCCTTAAATCACATTCAGACTCTTGTACGTCACGTGTGCACGAATGTGAGCCTGAGCAATAAGTTGCTGGCTGCAGTTCACTTGATGGCCACCGGTGTCGCTAATAACAGGGTTTCTGAATTCTACATATAGACCTTTGAAAGTGTGATTATTTGTTTATTATTTGTTTGTCCTTTCATTTAACGTAATAAATTACCTTTATCAAGTAAAATGTTATCACAATCGACACCCGATGTTGTAAGGCATTTTTTGCTTATTATAATGGCTTATAAAAGGCTTATAATTTAGCCTATAATAATAATATTAGGAAAAATAATACAATGTAGCCTACTATACACTGCCATTCAAAAGTTTGGGATCGGTACGATTTTTTATGTTTTTAAAATAAGTATTTTCTGCTCACCGAGGCTGCATTTATTTTATTTAAAAGACAAAAAAAAAGTTATATTGTGAAATATTATTACAATTTAAAAGAACTGTTTTATGTTTGAATATATTTTAAAATGTAATTTATTCCTGTGATGGCAGAGCTGAGTTTTCAGCAACATTACTCCAGTCTATGATCCTTCAGTAATACGTCTAATAAGCTGATTTGCAGCTCAAGAAACGTGTGTTATTATCAATGATGAAAACAGTTGTATATAATTTTTTTTCAGGATTCTTTGATTAATAGAAAATTTAAAAGAACATAATTTATCTGAAATAGAAAGCTTTTGTAACACCATACACTACCGTTCAAAAGTTTTTGGGGTCAGTAAGATTTTTTGGGGGGGTTCGGAAAGAAATTAAAGAAATTATTATTTTTATTCAGCAAGGATGCTTTAAATTGATCATTCGATTTCAAATAAATGCTGTTCTTTTGAACTTTCTATTAATCAAAGAATAAAAAAAAACTTGATTTCAACAGTATGGGAACAGTATGGGATCAAACCAAAAACATTTTTTAGTATTTTTAATCTAGTAAATGCAGCCTGGGCAAGCAGAAGAGACTTATTTTAAAAACATTTATAAAAACATATGTATATCACGCAATAATGTTGTTAACCAGATTTCAGAGCGATACAGTGACACTTTTACGGCACATTTAATATGTTATTTTATAATCATATACCTAAACCTATCACATATAACATGTTAATTCATAGTCAAGTTTAATGAAGTTTCTGGATCGGGCCATACATACATTGTGGTTTATAAGCACACACTAATAATATCCAGATAGCAACATTGAAACATACAACAGTGGACATCATGAACTCTGGGGACACTAATGATTTCTTAACATGCCACTAGGTTTATCCCATGCAGAAAAATGCTGACAACAATGTAGTCTGTTATCAGAAAGGACATTTACATCAACAACACACATGCACACTTAAAAAAGCAACTTAAGTAGAAAAGTAATAAACAAATCCTTGCTTATAGTACCTTGCGTCACCATCCTGGTCCTCCGTAGAGTCGCCTGATGTATTCAACACATATGGGCTTCGCTGTTTTGCTTTAATTAAATAAAAAATACACACCTTAAAAGGTTAAATTATTTGTGTATTGCATGTGTAAAGTAATGACAGTAGAAATGTGTCAAAGCATATCAATCACAGCAGTGTCAGGTTAAAACTCATTATATGCAGACATAAATATTAGAGTCCCCAGGACAAACGCCAGGACGACACACAGAAGAGAAAGCAGGAACACTTACATGCTGCTGATGAAGTGTTTTCAGACACCTTCTGGAACGGGTATCTGAAGAGCAGTTTATTTCCTCTGCTGCCAGAGCTCACTAGTATAACGCTTATGGGACTTGTTTTTTCACCATTTGGATGCAGGCTAGATTCAGACTGCTTCCATATCAGCTTCTCATCTGAATTTAAATCTGGAGACCACTGCTTGTACATCCTGACGCGTATTCTTAAGTATATAACTTATAAATCTCAATCGAATTAAGGTTGCAGGTGGAGCTGAAACCGTGCAATGTAACATTTACATTACAAGTTTGGAGAGCTAGCAGCTAAGGGTGATAATTGATAGTTTAACTGAATGAGTGTAAGACATACGATGCACTTGATGTACTGCACCTATTATAACCTGAAAAGAGAACTGACAACCTAACTCACCCTAACCCTAACGAATATGGGAGATAATGGCAGTATAACACTTTCTGTTAGCCTGCTAACGTTAGCTAACCAAAAGCACTACACAAAGGCAAACAAGTTAATGGTATCATTCGATATAGTAAACCAAAATGGTTTGTCCATCAGTCACCAGCTGGCGTCATTGAATATGTGCAACTAATCTGACAGTGAAGTGAAAGACAGTGAAAACGGAGAGCTAAATAAATAAACGTCATTCTTTACTGATACATACACCATTACCGCCTAGCAGGTCAGTGTTTAGTGTTACACTATGTGCGCCGAAGATACAATGACTGGATGCAATAGTTCCGCTCCGCAAGTATGTCTGAATGCATAAATAGATAACTAAAACCCCCTTAAGTTTAATAATAATAATAATAATCGATCAATTTTTAAATGCCTTTCATTTAGCTATACATTATATTGTTTGACATTTTTTAATTATGAAAATACGTCATGAAATGTGAATTATTTTTTAAACTATTATAATTACAATAATACATAAGTACTTATGCTATTGTTTGAGTTATTCATATTGGTTGCTCAAAAAGTAGCCTAGGCTAAATAACCTACTATTTTCCACGAAAAATGTCCCAAATAAAGTTTTTTTCTTCTTCTAAAGTTGACCAAGTCAGAATCCCACAGTTTTTTATGCTTCCTACTCCCTGGTTCACCCTAAAATGAAAATGGGCTATGCATGCATAAGTTCCGCATTTGACGTAAGGATGCTCGTCCATTCCCTGTTGTGTAGATTAAAGCGGAGGAAAACCGGAGAAAACGGGATTATGGCAGAGTCTTCAATATTTACTGTCCTCCCGTCTTTGAAACGAAACGTAGGCTACATACGTTTAGATGTAATTTTATATATAGTTATGTTTATTTAATATAATTTTAAAAAGAAGCATAAACACAACGAGGGGTGTTTTATCTGTTTTTGTGACTAACGTTTCATTAGTATATGGAGTATAAAATTCAATATAAATTCGGTATTGCATTGTACTCTATGATCGGCGGAAGTTATCGAGCATCCTTAATCCTTCACCGGAAATAACGCCGTGCATAGAGCCCATTAAAGGTGGTATGCCCTTTTCACAAGATGTAAAATCAATCCCTTTTATGTTTAAACCTGAATCAAAGATGCAGAGAAGAAGTGACAACATGTAGAATTCAAGAGGACGTAGTTGATGAATTTATGTTGCTGATGTGGAGTTAACTTTCTTCAATTAGCATATTCTGTCAGGATAATCTATAAATCACTATTCGGTTGTTTAGTCTGACGCCACGCGTGACGTTTAGCCTCTTCCGGGTCCAAGCGCTCCGCTCGTCCATATCTAATTAACGTTACAACCCATAACGTTAGACTAAGCCCTTTTCTTAAAGGACTGGCTTCGCTTCAGCGCCAGTGGGTGTTAGGGATAAAGGAAAGAGTTGTAACTTACCTTATCAACTGCAGCCATTTTCTCTTTTCTTTCTCGTCACAGGGAAAGCGGTAGAATGACAGTTGAATGTCACTTTTTTTTTTTTAACTCCGATCTATTTAAACAACATGGGACACAGCACTGCGGCATGTTAAAACTCGGGCAAAAGCGGTAAGCAGATAGAGAGGACCCAGCATTTGGACCCGGAAACAGTATTATCAGAGCGTGATTACGTCACGACTTAACAACCGAATAGAGAGCCTAAGTCCCTCCCCTTCCGGTCGACCACCATGGGACCTTATTTCGGAAAAAAAACTAACTTTAATGAGGCTGTTTGTCATTGTTTCTACAGTCTTACGTTATAATCGTAACGTTACGCCGTCCTACCTGAGAGTTTTGTACCAGGCTGCACACACACGAGCAGCGGATCTCGTTTCGCTTCCCGGGAGATGTAGTTCACAGAGCGATTTTCACATAAAACTAAATGTTACTCTTCTGTTGTATGACAAACTGCGACGTTTTTGACTTTCAGAATTATTTTTTAAATTGACAAACATCATATGTGTAATTGAGGGCACAGTTCAGATGGAATAAAAAGATAAGTTGTCTCTCGCCATTGACTACCATTCATATTTTTTTCCGAAATAAGGTCCGGGACTTAGGCTGAACTGTTCTGAGATGCACACAGAGTGACTTTCTATTGCATGTGAAAACACGGATGCTACAGTTTGAGCTGGCTCACAAATGTGCTTGACAACAACAGCGCTTCCTCTTCTCAACAATAGGACTGCGTGCATGTTCCCGGGGGGTTTATGTAAATTTTAGGGTTAGTGATGTCACTAACCCGAGATGACTGTTGTGTAGTTCCTACCAGCCGTTTGTTGTAGTTCTTAAAAACTATTTCTTTAAAAGCAAATATCTCCCTTTGCTTTGAAGTTTGAGAGTTGTAACTTTGCAGATATTGTTTGCTCAAACAGCAACATTACACACTAAAGTTAGAAAAGTGAAATCATAATCAACCACCCCTTTAAGTCATAATTGGCTCATATTGGTGTTCTTCTAATGACATATGCCATCTTCTTTCTTTTTTGGACCACAAGCGGATGCTTTTGGACCATTAATTGGTAGGCCAATTAATATGCACATTCATGGCCCAACATGCAGCATACCGCTACAATCCTAAAGCCTTATACAATTGTGATCAAATAAAGAGTCTATTTTGAGTGTTTTAAAAGTTTAAAAATGAAAATATTAAACCTACTTCATAACCATTCCAATGTGAACAGCTATTCACTGATAATGCTAAATATGATTGCAACAGTTTTGTTCATTTTGAAGAGAAATGTTGATGCTCATTTATAATGAAACAATTAATGTTGCTGTATATTAAAGTAATTTACTTAATGAATAAAAAGACTCACAATCCAGCCCTTGTTTGATTGCTTTATTTATATACTTTTTGCACAATTGAATTCATCGAATCATTGCATTGAGGCAGAGATGTCGAGCAGGTCTTCAGAAGTATTGGCTGGTGAGAGCGGTCACAACTAAAGTCAGGAGCTTCTGCCAGGTGGCCTGAACAGCAGGGGTGAAAGCGGGTCCAAATGTGGTCGCAAGAATAATGGTGAGGCAATCAGCCAACAGCTGCATGGGTAAAAAAAAAAGTGCATTGTTTAGGCAACAACAGTCTGTGATATATTTCTTAATATGCTTCAAATTTATAAAATAAAGCATTTACAGTGAAGTTGCCTGGATCGACGTTGAGTTTCTCGCAGTGCAGCTGGCTAAGTGGAGCGTAAACGGCTTTGATGTTATCCATGTTCTTCACGGCTTTGTCCAGCGCAGTTAGCACAGTTTTACCATGTGCTGACACTTTAGGATTGCCCAGGATTGCAGCTGCATTGGATAGGTCTCCAAATGCGCCGAAATACCTTTGAGTCCAGGGGTAAACAATCAGCACCCTGTCACATGAAGGAATGGAAAAAGCTCTATAAATCCAAACTCTTTTCAAAATACAGAATTGAATAAACGACGTGGTATGTATAATCTTTGACACGCTTTCACGTTACCTTGCCAGAGACTGGGGTCCGATTTCACCGATGTTGATTTTGCCCCATAGACTCGCAACAGTTTTGCGCTCGGAATCTGACCACTCCACCATTGTGATTATCTCTTTCCTTTTTCAACAAGTGTGAATGCTGAACATAGATAGATGCGCGCAGAGTTTTTATTTATACTCGTACTCTCCGCCCACACCAGGCGCAGAGACTGATTGGTGTGGTACCCATTCGTACTTGGATCCGAGATTGGTACATTTTGATTGAACTCACTGAACCCATTTCGTACATCTCAAAATAAACATGGATTCAATCATAAAAATTATGAATGTCGCATTGTGTGTAGGCCTATTGTTGTGTAAGAGTCCAAAATCGAATCAAGGCTTTATGTTGTACTAATTTGTCTAATTCCATTCTCAGAAAATGTTGACAACTGGGTAAAAAAAAACGCTAGTCACATGTGTCGCATTAACAGTGGATGGCACATATGTTAGGCTAATATTTAGACATGAATCAGTAGGGGAAATGTAAACTATTAAAATTCACTTAACGTTAAATTAAATGGAATTAAGGCTTTCAACATCCAATTTAATTTTTTAAATTTGAACAGGTGCCAGCTCATTTTGTTTTATCTGGACACTCAGACCCGTTCCTCCCATTTCAAAATGTTCTTAATTTCTTTAATCTTGATAACCGGGGATGTCCTGTTCTTTTTGCATTTGCCTCACCCCTTTAGGTGCAATATGGTGTCCCCAAAAGACCCAGAAGCATCTCTCACACTGTATAAAAAAATTACGTGGTCAAGTTATGACAAAATAACTTATTTTAATGAGTTAAAGCAATGTAATAACATAAGAAATTTTCAACTTTTTGTTATAGCTAATTCAACTATTTTTTTTAAATAAAAATATCAGTTTGATGTAGCCTAATTTGGCTTAAGCAAGTTAATTGTAGCTACTTAAGGCAGCAACTTTTACATGCAAACACCGCAGACTGAATTTAAATTGTTTTGATAAATATGTTAATTTAGTAATAAAAAAGCAAGGGCGGTATTGTTTATTTTTTAAGGACAATACATTATATATTGTATATTGTTTTTACCAAAACCAATATATTGTTTAGGATTCGGACATTCTTTTGGTACATCGCTGTTTAGAGAGATGATGCAAAATAGTTTCATATACATTTTCTATTTTTTTTTCTCTCTCTCTCTCTCATTTAAAATAACGAATAAAGAATTTTTAAAAAAAGGAATGATGAAATGAATTGACAAAATGCTCCTGTAATGGTTGGCTGAAGTCTGAGAGGTGGAGCTGATGCGCTGTCGGGTGTGGCAGAACTGGGCATTATAAAAAAAGATCCCTTATCCTTCAACTAAAACTTTTCTCTTAATACCGAAGTTGAAAGGATCGAAAAATGAGTTTGACAGCTAAGGACAAAGCCTCTGTCAAGGCCTTCTGGGGTAAAATCTCTGGTAAGGCCGACGCCATAGGACAAGAAGCTCTGGGACGGTAAGAGATCTACATTTTAATTATTTTTTTTTTACACCAAGCAAACCAATGTCAAAAGAGTTTTGCCTAAACAAATAACGGATTTTCTCCCTCCCACAGAATGCTCATTGTCTACCCTCAGACTAAAATATATTTTTCTGACTGGACTGATTTTTCTGTCGACTCTCCTCAAGTGAAGAAACACGGCAAAACTGTGATGACAGCCATCACTGATGCTGTGGGCAAAATGGATGATCTAATTGGTGGAATGACCAGCTTGAGTGATCTCCATGCCACTAAGTTTCGCATTGAC